GTCCTAAGCAGAAGCGGCTTTTGGGCCCTCTTGGCCCTTGCAGGGCAGAAACCTCCCCTGGAGGCCTCTGGGTGGGTGTGCGTGGGGGGCAGCTCTCTGTAACAGCTTTCAGAGCATGAATGTTTTATAGGATCTGAGCCGGAGCTGTGAGAACACATACTGCCAAGGGAGCTCTTTCTTAACGTATTAATAAAGCCAGATCTTTAAAAATAACACCTCTCACCCCTCCCCCGCCTCCAGCCCCAGACAGTCCCAGATGAGGCAAGAGCTTCACTTTGAGAAGTCACTGGCAATGTTGTGCTTTCCATTTGCCTTCTACAAGTCTCCAGGTCCTCCCCTACACCCCATCCACCCCGCTTGAGGTTTTTGAGATTCTGGATGCCACGCAGCATGGGCAGTGCCAAGCAGACCCGAGATCAGGAGCCAGTATGGACAAACCCACACGGTGTGGACCCCCTACATGGTTCTCGTTCTCCACACCAGGCCCAGGGACATCTTTGGGCTAAAGTTGACATTCCTGTAGATGGGACATCTAGGAGCACAGGGGATGCAGAGATCTGCTGGTTCATTTCTGGCCTCCTCTGAGCTTACTTGCGGTAGGAGTGAGGAACCCTCATCCCAGCCTCGCTGCTGCCTGTGTGTTGGGGTGTGGTGGGCTGCAGCTAGGGTGCTCTCCAGGGAGAAGGGAGCAGGCTTCCTCCCAGAGCTCACCGATATTTCCTGCCTTTCTGGAAATGAGATGTAAATATATTCATTACAGTGTGATCCCTCTGATGAAAACCGATAAACATTTTCATAGGTCAGAAACGTACTTTTCAATTAATTTCAATAGGGAGGCCCAATCACAAGGCACCCAGTGTAGAGACTGCCCGGAGAGCAAAGGCCAGCAGTACAGGAGCGCTTGCTCCCGTGTTCAGAGGTGACAGTGGTCACTTGACTCTTGTTTGCGGATCCAGAGGGCTGCTCCTGGCCTGTCCGATCGGGGCCACTTTTACAAGCTCTGCTGGGACCAATCCACCCAGCAAAGCTGGAGGCAGGCCTTCCTATGGCCCATGGACTCCCTGATGGGCTCTTGGAGGGCCCCGAGGCTGGGGCAAACAGGAGGACCAAAGAAGGGTCCTTTTGGAGACTGGGAGTAGGTTTCTCCTGTTGTCTCCTCAGTGGTTGGGTGCCACTCTCCCTGTGCCTGCACGACACACAGAGACACCATATGCCCAGAATCAGAGATCTCTGCCCATCTCATTGAGAGACAGAGCCTCCCAGGGGCTCAGGCTATGTGAGCCCAAAGGCTTTGCACACTCGGCATAGAAAGGACTCAGGAATCCCCTCGTGCTAAGGGAAAGTTTAAGAACTTAGGAACCTAGAAGGCTGCTAAGCCTTGTGATACCTAGGAAGGGAGCTCTCCACTCTGGCATCTGAAGGCTCCCTCCATCTCCCACTGGCCCCTTCTGGGACTCTGCCTCTGGGGCTGAGGACAGCAGCAGAGGTCCCCAGGGAGGCCGCAGGGCCGGCCCTCAGGAGTGGCCAGCCACCCCTGATTGCACAATCACAGCTTTCTGGGACCCTGGACCTGCACAGGAAGCAAGGTGGGGCAGGTGGGGACCTCCTCTGCCCCGGTAGCTGCCAGGAGACCCCTGAGCCCACCTCACCTCGGAGCCAGGCACCAGGGGGAGCCGTGGAACTCAGGTTCGAGGCTGCAGGCGGGTGTAAGCCAGATGGTTGCCTTTGCCTGGGTCAAGGAGCCCTGCCTAAGCCTGGGCCTGCCCAGGCTGTCGGAGCTCTGAGTTGGAGAGTAGAGCTACTGGGAAGAGGTAGAACCATTAGGTTCACAGAGCCAGAGAAAATACAGTCAGAGAGCAGCTCACCTAAGGCGACTTCACTCGAAATTACCTATGACCTTGGCTACTTTCTTCTTTATTCTAGCCCGAACACTTGCTGGACAGCTGAGAACTTTAAGGTCTTTGAAGTCCGTTTCAACTACCTTAGCCACGAGCTTTGCTGCAAACATCTGAAAGGCCATCTCGGGAGAGCTGTTCTCTGGGATAGTTAGGGAACCCGGCCAAGCCTCTCCACCCCAGGGTATGAGGCTTGGCCCCGGGAGGGAGTGTGACCTTCGCTCCATCCCCCATCCTACTTAGCCAGCCCAGGCTGGGTGGAAGGAAGCCCAGAGGTGGGCGTGTGGGTCCCCGGTCCATCCGGACCACCTCAGGCGTGTCAAGGCCTCAGCTTCGTGAGTCAGCTGGGGCTCGGCCTCTGGCAGCTGCAAAGGGATGGCTCTGGGAGGCTCAACCTTCCAGCTTCGCTAGGCGAGCTAGGAAACTAGAGCCCAGTCATTTGGAGCCCACCTGTGCTTGCCTCCTTGGAGAATGTCCCCTGCAAAAGTTTATTTTAAAAAAATAGTCTCTCTCCTCTTCCTGCACTCCTAGGCACTCCTTGCACTCCTACAGTGGCTGAAAGGCCTCCCCTGATCTCCCCTATACCTTGGAACAAATCAGCTGCAAATAGGAGACCAGGAGGAGCCAGGGGGGAGGGGGGAGGGGGGCCGCAAGTGGGAACTAATAAAACTCTTGTTAAAAGGCCTGCTCAGGATCTGTGGCATCACTGGGCCTTTTCCTTGGGAAGCCAAAGAGTTGTATTCCTAAATGAGTTAAAGACCCATTTACCTCTGTCGTGTTCTATTCATCAGGCCACAAGTTGAGAGTTCCTAACATGAAACTATTTGTTTGCTTACACAGCCAGCTGGGCGCAATTTCACGTCTGAGATATCTATCTGAAAGCCCCTCTCATTTATTATCTCTCCTTGTCAGCGAATCCATTTTCCAGGGCCCCTCCCCCCTCTGGAGTTTACTTATTTACTTACTTATTTATTTATCTGTGGGGGGCTTCTCTGCCCGGGAGGACGGGGCTGGGATACTTCCCAGGGAGCAGTGGCTCCTTGCCGGGCTCTGTTGCGACCCCGGCCGGCGGGTGGGCCTGGGCGTGGGGTGGACGGCAGACATCCTTTCCTTGGATGTCTTCCCCGCTAGCTCCCCTGTGTCAGCTTCGACCACCTGTGCGCGGAGGGGGCGATTGGGCCAGGGGGTCGGGAAGTGAACCCGGGAACCTTTCCCCAAGAGGGGGGCTCGAGATTCGGATTGGAGAGATGCTTTCACAGAGCCCCACCTAGTCCCATGGGGCCAGCTTCTTCTCCCCCGGCCAGGCCAGCCGGCCAGAGCAGAGTGAGTAGCCAAGATGTAAATAGTTACGTGAGGGGCTGGGGGAGGGGCCGTGCATTTATTGTGTGTGCGCAGAGGGGAGAAGGCTGCACGTGGTTTCAATTTTGAAGCACAAAGAAATAACATGCAATGCAGAAAATAGGTTTATGAATGTAATTGAGAGAAAAGAAAACAATTAACACGGTGCAGGACTGCACACTTGATTCCCCGCCCCTCGCTTTCCCTTCTACCCCAATTTTGAAAAATCCGGATCTTGTGAATAGAGTGGGTCTAGGCAGTTGGATCCTGCTGACAAGAGAACCCCCGATGGGAATCTCAGTGATAGCTAGATAATGGTGTCTATCCATCTCCTGGACTAGTAGGGCCTCTTCTAACCAAGCTGAAGGCGAGGGATCAAACCCCAAAGTCCAGCTTACAAAACATCCTCAATTGTCAAGAAGCAAGCAGAAGGGGTGCCTGGGAGGGGCGAAGGGAGAAAGGACCGAGAGAGACAGCGAGGGGTTTCTCTAAGACCAGGCTGATCCCTGCAAGCTATCCTATTGTGTTGATTTAGGAAGACATTTGCTGTATATAACGTTTAAGGCTGATAATATCATTGCGCAGCCAGATAAATAAAGCGTTGGCCCAACGGTGGGGTCAGCGATCGATCTTGGGCTCAGAGGAAAAGGGAGAGACAGGGTCGCTCACGAGGCTCGCCTGTGTGCTTGTCAGTCGGCGTGCAGGAGCGGGAGCCCGAGTGTGTGAGCGTCAGGTTGTGTGAGAGCGAGAACCCAGTCTTCAGCTGGCCAGCAGGCTCATTAGCATTCCTAAGCCATGGACCTGTGCTGACAACTAACAGAGATAGCCGCTCACCACCAGGCCTCCTCTCCTTTTGTCTTCAGATCTGGAAGAGAAAAAGATTTCTGGGTGGAATCTGGAGCCTGAACTTCCATAGGATTGTTAGGGATTCAGTTTGGGGGGGGGGGGCGCTACCAGGATTTTGCCTGATCTTTCTCTCTGCCTTAAACAACTTCCCTCCTAAAGAGAAAACTTTTTTTCTTTGTTTTGCTTTTCTCTCTCAAAATGTAATATTCTAGTGAAACTCCGAGCTTAAGTAAATAAGAGGGAGAATCCTCTGGAAATATTTTGCCATTTCTCCTGTGGCCATGAAGAGAGGAGCCTGTTTATATGTCTGGCTCAAATACACATGCAAAGCTGGTACTTTTAAAGATTTCCAGCACAGAGCGACCAGGGGTTGCTTGAGCTTACTGTGCCTCCTCTTTCTTCTGCTCGGTTTTGTCTCCTTCTGGGATAAAATTATTTTCTATAATAAACATCCTGCTTATTATTTCATCACTCCTCATTGTTTTAAAATACAGGACATCTTTCGAAATCGTGTAGAATCTAATTTTGAATTAACTATCAGGAAAATGTAATTTTAGATGCCCCCATTATTCTAAGAAACATTTTTAAATTATACTCATTTGTGCAGTTTTCTGCACCCTCACACCTATTTTGGGGAGAGTCTTTTCACCAGATCTCCCAGGGATAAATATGTATCCACTTTGCTCTCCCAGATCCTGTTCCTTGAACTCCATCAAACTAGGCAGATAGTTTTACATCGGAGTGTACAAATTATCCCATGTTGACAGATGTTTGTCACTTTGTAACTTCTTTCCAAGTTTTCTCCCCCTCCCCTAAGCCTTCTTTCCAGCTTGCTTTGTTGTTTTAAAATATGCATGTCTCTCACTGGAATGCCAGTCACGAGTGCAAACTTTGTGTCCAACCTCCCACATGAAATGATCCTTTTAGAGGGAACTCAGTATGTCTCAATCTGCACTTCACTCAAAGCCTCTGGGTACCGGCCACTCACTGGTTCTGGCTCCAAAATAACTCAGCAGAAACGAGTTTCCAACTAAAAATCCCCTCGAATGTCTCCCAGGGAAGAAATATAGCTCCTATAATTAAAGGAGGCAACGGCCGGAGGGGGAATGCAGCCAGCAGCCAAAAAAAAAAGTAAGAGTTTTATTTATTTGCTGATTGAGCTTGGGTTGTCATGACTAGCAGGTTTATCCACACTGGAGGTGCTGGAGGTTTGTGCTTTGGTGCACAGGAGGGAGAGGTGGGAACAAGGGAAGGGGAGGATGACAAGGAGCAGGCCCACTTTGGGAGAGACAAAATGATTTCTGTGGGACAATGCAGGGAAATTTCCCAGCACTGGATCTGAGTTTTAAAAAAACAAAACAGCACAGAACAAGAGTTGTAGCTGAGGAATATGGGGGGGGGGGTTCAGAGGAGATGAAGGGGTAATTATAGTAAACTCTCAAATGTGGGGTATCATCAGGGAAAAGGAAAAGGACTCTGACTGCCTTCCCCAGAAAAGTAACGTGACAGCAGGAAAATTATTAGCTGTGCTGTGTGTGGCAATTCCGTATGTGGGGGGCGGAATTAGAAGTTTCAGGACTCAAAGCAAAAGTGCAGGGCAGCCAGGAGCCCACCACCCTCCTAGGCAAAAGTTGTCTAGGAGGTGTGGAAGGGGAGTCTTCTCTAGAAGACATCACCTTTGCACTTGATTTTAATTAGTTTCATGTTGAAGAGCTGACTCTGCCATCAGGACCGCTTAGAGCTCAAAGGATGCTGAACACCTCCCAACCTCTTGGACCACCCTCCAGAGAGGAGGTAGTAAGGCTTCTAAGCTTCAAAACAGAAGGAGGACTCAGGCCGGGCAGCTCCTTTCTATTAAGAAGGCAAAACTTTAGCTCTGATGAAAAACAGATGAATTTTTTTTCCGTCCTCTCTCTGAAACAGTTACTCTCTTTTACTGATGTGAAGTGACGTCAGCAATGCCTGCCCTATCCCCTTGGAGAGAAGGGAGAGAGGAGGAGGCGAGGGAAGGAGGGAGCTGGGAGGAAAAGCTAGCGAAAAAGAGAAAGAGGAGCTGAGAGAACAGGGGGAAGGGTGGTAGGGGGAGAGGGAACGGGAATGAGTGTCCTGCAGGGTCCTGTAGGACAAAATTCCACCGAGTGGGGAAAACAATGCCGGAGAGGCCAGTGAGGCTCGGGCACCTTCTACCCTCAGCCGCTCTGTCCTAACCTACGGAGAGCTTACAGGCCCCGCGCACGTATAGAAGCCGATAATGCATCAGCTCTCCGCAATATTTACAGCGCCACTTTTAATACACACCAGATGGTTCGCGACTGTGCCGCCTCAGCCAGCTCACTCCTCGGTTGTACTCGGCGGCACTTTGTTGCAATTACGCTCCATGCTGAGACCAATTTTATTGGTGACCTATTTTTCATATTTGCAGCATTTTATGTTAAAAAAAACCTCCTCCCTGGCCTTTCTGCAAAGGGCAGCGCTCAGGCAGGGAGGGTTTTAGGAGGACAGCGGTGCGGCGGGGCTGTCGAGGTGGATATTCATATCTATCGTGATGTCCCATACCTCAGGTTTAAGTGAGTAAACCCGATAGACAGAAGTACTGCGGTCATTATGTTTGTTCACTCACCTCCTGTCTGTCAGACCCCCACGGACTGTCTACACAGCGCGCCTGCCTCAGAGTCAATACATCGGACCATAAATATTGTATTCCATTAATTATCACGCCACTGGCTTATCCGGGCGCCAGCGTCCTCGAGCGGTGCAGGGCAACTGAGGACGCTTCCCGAGCTCATTCGCGGGCTGGGAACCCCGCTGCAGCCGCCGCGGTGCCTGGGAATCCCGGGCGCTCCGGGCTCGAGCAGGGCCTGGGGCCGCGCGCCAGAAGGCGGGGCGGGGCGCGGGCCCGTCGCCGCCGGGAGCGCTCAGTACCTGTTATCTTGCCACGCAGAAAGCCACAGGGAGAATCCCATTTGGCACGCCGGGAAAGGCTTTCAACTTTATCTCCCGCCATGTAAATATCCCCGAGCGCCCGACTGAGGGACTTTGTTTTGCACCGAACAATATAAATGTCCTCTTTGCTGCAACGCAGGTGTGCGCTTCCTACCCAAACTCTTTTTTCCTGCTTCCCTTCTCTCGTTTATAGTAACTCTTTATACCCCCTCGCCTGGTTAAAAAAAACCACAACCCACAGATGTTTACTTTATTGATATAACCTATGCCATGGTTAGGCTCAGAATAATATGCCTCGACTAGCAGTCATTTAGCAAATAATAGAGGCGTTCTGGATGCCGTCCAACGTTACACATGTACTTGGTCATAAAATGATACGTGAAAAAATTAACATCTGCTTTCCTAAAATAAAGTGTGCCAAGTAGCTTTTTATGAATGCTTTCCTCATTTTCAAAAGAAATATGGAGAGATAAACTGGCACCCAGATGTATAGCATATTTATAATGGTTTTAGGATTTAAAGGTAGCTATTCATTGCACAAGCCATTTAAAAACTGACGTTTTAAAAGCTACTTAACCCTAGACATCTTTGCATCCTGAAGAGTCTTCCAAATTTTATTATTTAAAGAGGAATTTACTGTCATTTACTTGCATATCAAGGCAAAACTATGTGCAAATCGGGTCTTGCAACCTCAGCTCCACAGAAATTCCAACTCATCTTTTATTTACCTAATTTCTCAGCAAGGTTCCCAGGCCCTTAAGAAGGCAGAGCTGGAAAGTTTAGTTGGGCTCTTTTTTGTTGTTGTTTAATTCCACTATTAGGAAATGAGGCCTACCTTTGAATTATTTCATTAGGATTTGGCCTTTTGGGGGAAGGGGTGGGAACCATAATCATTAGTGGCTTTTTATTATTTCTACAATAAATGGCTAGATTCTTTGTTGAATAAGCTGCTTGAATGTTTTGCAGATGTTCCACTTAGACCAATTCTGACCCCCTATTTCCTCCCAAATAAGTCGCTTAAACTCTCCCACCAGTCCATTTGCTGGAGAGGGCACCTGCCCCCACCCTAGCAAGACTGTCAGACCAGGACAAATCCTAACTACACACACACACACACACACCTCACTTTACACACACACACACACACACTCCCACCCACTGAGCCTCTGAACGTGGCAGGGGATAAGAAAAGAAGAAAAGGCGGGGAGCTGGTGCTGCAGAGCGCCGAGGAGGAGGAGGAGGAGGAGGAGGAGGAAGGCGGCCCAGTGGTTACAGCCCTAGGCGGAGGCGTGCCCTGCCCCGGCCCCTTGCCCCCCTTTGTGAGGTGGCCTAGGTCCGTTTCCCTCCCAGGGCTGGCAATCTTGCTCTGCCCGGTGCTGGAGGGCATCCGCCCAAGGTGTTTGGAGCTCTCCGGGGCGCGGGGGCCAAGCCGGGGTACCCGGGTCTCCATCCGGGCGCATCCCTCGCGCCGCCCCGCCGGGCCGCGGCTACCGCGCGTGGGGACCGAGGGTCTTTAACAAAGGGCTCCGCGGGGCGCGGCCACGTGACTGCCGGCGGCGGCGAGGGCGGGGAGGCGGCCCGGGTGCCCGGTGGCTGCTGCACCCAGAGAGCTCGGCCGGCCAGGCGGGCGGGCTCTGCCGGAGGCGAAGTCCGCATGGGCCCCGCGGCAGCAGCCTCGCTCTGCTCTGCTCTGCTCTGCTCTGCTCTGCTCTGCTCTCCTCGGCTCTCCCTGCAGACGCGCTTCGCAGGGCTGAGCGCGGGGAGGGCTGGGCCCAGGCTGAGGGGCCGGCGAGTGGGTGGACGGGAGGAGGTGGAAGACACAGCCCCTCTCTGAGCGACAAGACCCCTTTGCAAAGGGCCACGAGGGGAGAGGGGGCAGCTCCGAATAGGAATAGGAGAATTTTCAGGGTCTTGCGGTTACTTCCCCTCCCCCTTTTAGATAGTTTCTTCTTTTGAATTTTTTCCTTTCTTCTTTCTTTCTCTTCCTTTTCTTTCCTCTTCCTCCTCTTCTCCTTCTCCTTGTCCTTCTTCTTGAGTGGGCGAAATATGTCTTCATGTGTTTTCAGGAGAAAGAGTGATCCACAAACTTAAAAAAAATTCTTTTGGGATTGGAAAGAAATTATTAGAACAGGTAAACATGTTTTTGTGGGCTCGCTGGCCAGAGTGAACCGGGCAGTAAAATCCTGGGCTTTCACACAGGAATCTTTGAAGATGGTGTGGTTGTAGAGAAAGAGAATTATCTTTAAAAGTTTTCCCTCGCCCTAAAAACAAAACCTGTCACGGCTTTACTTCTTGTTAGAACAGGTAATGTCCTCGTTTTCTCGTTTGATGGACTCTGAATTGATGGTAGATGCCTCCCTGAGAAATGAGGATGAGAGAGAAGAGCTTATCACACACACAGATTTTTAAAACCTGCTTTCATATAATTTAACCTTAGGAATACTTTTATTATCTCCATTCTTAACCCTTCCTTTTTTTCTCTTTTTTTTTTTTTAAAGACCCATGCCTCCTAGAGGAGAAAACCTTCTTTTAAAACAGATTCAAGCCCCCAGCACCAGTTGTTTGTTGTTAGTTTTCATGATTATGACGGTTCTTATGTCATCCCCTTTCTGCACTTGATCTTTTTTTAAGAGGGTGAAATGAAGGACACAAAGACAGTATATCAATGAAAAGAAGAAAGTGGCCCTTTTAATGGGGACTAGAGAAAACCCAAATGTAGATGAAGTGTACCATAAAGGCTGCTTCCAAGTCCATCTTAATTCCCCTGGGCTCAGTCATCACGGACATGTACTAATGGGGAGCCCTGCAGAGGCAATACCCTGCCCTATCATTCCAGATACGTTTGCACGGAGAACTTGGAGACATTCAAAGCCCAGATTTGCCTACTCTGCCTTCAAACACTACCCACCTATTAGAGTAAATTCTCTCCCTTCTGTGATTACTTTGCTTGCTAGGGGTGTCCAGTCCTCTGCCCTACCTCATCCTCTCCCAGCAGGTTGGTATAGGCTGGGTCATATTCTAAGGTTTTTACTATTATTTTGTGCTCAACTCTGTTTAATTTTCTATTTATTTTTGGACCTCAGCCTTTTTGGATCACAAAAGTCCCCACAAGTAACACAGCAATAAATCTGGACAAAAATAAGACAGATTTCCTCATCGATGTGTAATAAAGTTAAAGGATATTGTTT